GGGGGTTCTTTTCACCCACACACTTGGCCTTGCCGGAGAACTGGGTAAAAACTTCTCATCCCCCACCGCAGGCACGGCCCGTCGATGACCCTTTCTGGTTCCGTCAGCGTCTGGATCGCCGGCCTGCAGTCGGGAGACCTTAGCGCCTTTGAGTCGCTCTGGCTTCGTTACGCCGACGCGCTCTCCGCCGAGGTAGAGCGGCGGCTGCCAGACAGGGCAGGCGTGTACGACGGCGACGACGTGGCCCAGAGCGTCTTCACGGCAATCTGGGCGGCGGCCGAATCGGGCCGGCTGAAGGACGTTCGCAGCCGTGACCAGCTATGGTGGTTCCTCACTGCGGTTGCCAAGCGGAAATTCATCGATCGGTTGCGGCGAGAGACGGCCCAGAAACGCGGCGGCGGCCGGGTGAATGGTGAGTCGGCGCTTGCCCGTATCGACGGGAGCGGCTTCCGGATCGATCAGCTGATCGGTGATGTCCCCAGTCCCGATCTGCTTGCCGAGATGCAGGAGGAATACGCCGCGCTGATGGCGACCTTGGCCGACCCGGTGCTCGTGAAGATCGCCCACTCCCGACTGGTGGGTTACGATGTGCAGGAGATTGGCGAGCGCTTAGGAGTCAGCAAACGAACCGTGGAACGCAAGCTCCGTCTTATCCGGGGCCGGTGGTCCAGCTATCTCGACGCCTACGACCATGCCGCCAAGCCCGCCGATAGCTCCCCCTAACGCCGCCGATCGGGACACGATCGAGGCGCTTTGCGACGAGGGGGAGACGCGGTTGAAGCAAGGCGCTCCGTTCGAACTCGTCGAACTTGTGCGGCGATGCCCAACGCGGCTGCAGGATCGGCTGGCGCCCGAACTGCTCTTTTTGGAGATCGATTACGCCCGTCGCTCTGGCGGGTGTCCCCGGCGTGAGGAGTTTCTCACTCGCTATCCGGGTTACGGCCGGCACGTTGAAGCGGCATTTTGCACTCTGGACCCGGACGAGGGAGGAATCGAGGAAGCGCGAAGGCGTTTCGCAGCCCTTCAGCCTGGCGCCACGTTGTCGCACTATCAGATCGAGCAGCGTATCGGACAGGGGGCCGCGGCCGAAGTATGGAAGGCCAGCGACACCATGACTGGGAGGCGTGTCGCACTCAAGATTCCACGTTGGGCCGATCACTCGATCGATCAACGGCTGCGGTTCCTGCGCGAAGGCCGCGTCCTTTCTCGGCTCGATCATCCCGGGATCGTAGGGCTCTACGAGATGGGACACGACGGCGTGCTACCGTACCTAGCCATCGAGTATGTCGATGGGGGCGCGCTGCGGGACGCGCTGCGAGCGGGACCGCTGCCGCCAACCCGGGCGGCGGAGCTTTGCCGATCACTGGCCGAGGCGCTCGACCATGCTCATCAGAAGGGCGTGCTGCACCGCGATATCAAGCCGGGCAATATCCTGCTGCGTTATGACGGCGAGCCCGTCCTGACGGATCTCGGATTGGCGAAGGATGGCGCCGAAAGCGGCGACCTCACCGAGCACGGCGACATTCTTGGCACGATCGCCTACATGGCGCCCGAGCAAGCGGCGGGGCGATCGGCGGAA